TGTTATTAATTTAACATTCCTATACGTTCTTCAATAAAGAAATGTGTCAATTCTGGAGTCTGGACTTAAAGAAGGACGTAAAACGCAAAGTCATGATTTGATTCTAAATAATTACATTTTAAAATAATTTAGCTTATATTTAAGAATAGATGCGAGTTGATCTTCAGGTCAAGACCTTGGCATCATTTCTCTCTCGAATTGCAACAGATAATTCGTATAGGTGTACATCATGTCTCCTCCCTGTTCTTCACCTAGCCTAATCCACCCTCTTCGATTCTTAATAGAGAAAAACTGTCATCTACACCTTTTAAAGGAATAAAGCAATATTTAGTATAAAAAAGAGGCGTCCTTGCTAGCAAACGATTCATTTGAACCAAATTTTTAAATGTGGATTGCTCAGGTAAGATCAAACCCTCTATAAGAAAAAAATGATTTTTTCTTTAGTATAAGGTGACGTTTGTATAGGTTATAGGCCTTATAAGTTATTAGATACAGTCTATATATATAGACTAATGTAAAAGTAAGTAATAGTATGTGATAATATATATATTAATATATAAACAATTCACCTGTCAATTTTTTCTATGTTGGTTAGCTTATAATAGAGATCAAAACTTTAAAGATCAATACAAATGCAACTTTGTATTCGAGAAGAGTTTTAAATTTTCATATTAATTTATCTTCTAGCAAAAAGAATAGGACCTATTTCTCTTCAATTAGTATAGTATATGTTAATTAGTGGAAAAGTTACCCAGCTAACTGATTCGCACTAAAATAATTTATGCGATTTTTTACGGCTCAATATTTAATTAAATTGTTAGGATGAATAACTTTTTTAGTTGTGACATGACATAAAAATTAAATATTACACAGAAAATATTTATGCAAAATCTAGTTTATAGAATAGACTATAGCCTGGGAACACAGATGCGATTTTCTGTTATATTTATTTTCCCAGCCGTTGTTTGTAACAGAAGGAAAGCATTGCAATCGGTCAAAAAATGGCTCTTCAAGTTTTTTACATTTTTGCACTCAGAGGATCTTGAAACGTCGAGAAATGCAGAAAAATTTGGAAGGTTTTCTGTATATACGGATATTTGTATGTGTGTGGGGCATGATTTCGTTCATCCACTTTGAAGTTACTGTGTCTTTTCTCAAAAACGTCTGAAATTTTACAGGGATGTTTGTGTATTAGAGGTATTTTTTTTTTTTTTAGAAATAATAATCTTTATTTGTCGTAGTAGGCTTTCGCCTGTTACAAGGGCGTTTAGTTTTACATAAACGCGTATTAATTTAACATCTCAATTTTTTTTCGTCTTATTAACATTATTATATTCATTTGCTAATTTTTAAATTTACATTAATATTTTGTTACAATTTTCATTTAGTAAATTGTTTAACATAGTTATATAACATATAAATCGTGTTAGTATTAGCTCTGTCAAAAGTCTTAAACATTTTCATCTCACTGTTACAGTTGACTAGCGGTTGCATTTGGAGCCTTTGTATTTTATCTTTTTCATTACAGCATTCACATATAATATGAACTCTAGATAAAGGTTTAGTACAATTTGGACATTTAGATTGGGTATAGTCTATATATTTATCATTTATAATTATTCCGTATTTATTTAGCCTAAGCTGTATAAAAAACTTTTTGATGTTAAAAGCTAGATTTGTCAATATATAGTTGTTATTTACAGGATAATTTAAAATTGTTGCATACCAGCTTGTATTTTCTCGTTTTCGTATATCTTCCACGTCTTGGATAATAGAGTATTCCATAACTCTATGTATNATATAATTAAATTCTTCTTAGTTCTATCGTTTATCATTTTGTCAACTTCAAAATCCACCATACCTTTTAACTTGCTGTACGAGTCTGTTCTTTCTTCTAATAAACGTATTTTTTTACACATATCTTTCATCTCTTCCTTCAGCTTTAAATTTTCTTCGTTCATTTTGTTGATTTCAGCTTTTATGGAACGGATTTCGGAATTCAAACTATCAAATTTATCTTGGATTAATTCATATATCGATTTAAGTGAGTATTCAGGTTCAATAGTCTTTGTTAGTAAATCTTCTTCCGGTTCGAAGAAGTCTTTTATTGTAGCATACTTCGAGATATCAGTAGTACTCTTGGAGTGTTCCTCAATTAAATATTCCTCTTCTGACATTTCGCTTGTCTGAGTATTTTCTTCTATATTTCTTGTATGCTCTCTACGTGGTCTCCCTCGTCCCCTTTTTTGCATAACTGCTTGACTTGGTATTGGAGGAGATCGAGGGAAAGGTCCGGGATTTAACTCAATGCCAGCAATCATTAGTAGAATAAAAATTATTATTCGAGTTAATGAAACATTTAAAAAACTTATTTCAGTTCTACACTTAATATTCCGTTGTAAAAAATCCATGTCTAACGTCGCCATAACAGCTCAGCAAAAAAAGTCACCAACACCTCCGCAGGCTAGACACGCCCCCTATTAGAGGTATTGATGCTATTAAATTTTGACAGTTAAAGGTCAGCGGGGTGGGGAGATAGAAGGTGTCATGTTTATATCTCGAGTGGGGTCAGACTTAATGAAGATTTCACTCGTTTACTATATATATAAGGTATAATTATATCAAACTCATTCTACCCTCAAAATTAAGCTTTTTTTCATTTTATAATAATTAATAACATAAAAAGTTTTTAAATAAAATAACACAATTTTAACATTTGCTGGAAAAGTTACACAACTCGTTGCTGGATTTTTCTTTTCTTTTTTTTTTTTTTAATGAAATTCTTAGTATGTTATTCATAGCTTTGAATATTAATATAGCCTTTATGCAGTTTTAGCCTACATTATACTTAAGTTATGTTATTAATATATACATTTTCATTACATATTCCCATTTTTTATGTAGACATATTTATTGCGTTTTTTTATACATAAGACTAAGTTAATTTTAGTTTACATATCGACAAAATAAATCTGAAATGATGCAGCGACATTGTTATATAAATGTATTTGCATAAGTTTATTCAAGTAGCATTATTTCAAGTAGCACATACAGCATTATTTCTGTACACAATTGATACATAAAACTGTTTTCAAATAATGGATAGTAATGTAAATCGTCTCCCATAAGCGTAATGCTGTTTTACTATCAATATAACGATCCTGTAAAATGTAAATGATTAGTCAACCCTTCAAACATTAAATTCACAAATCAAGAAATTAAAATAACTGTCTTCTTAAATGAGAACATTCCTTAACATTTAAAAACTATTTTTAAAAAATTCAGCAACGAATTTGTGTGTGGCACCAATTGTTATGAGGTTTTATTTTTAAACCTTTTTATATTATTGACTGTTATAAAACGGCAAAAAGCTTAATTTTAAAGCTAGCGATGAGTCTTATTTTTAAAAAAATTGTAAATGCTAATAATTAGTAACCACTTAAGATGTTTTTTTTAAGATGAATAAACCGAAATGTTATATCCTTCGAATCCGACGTTCACCCGAGTTCAAAAATTACACAGAAAACGATTTTATTCTCAGATATTTTATTTAATTGTATTTCGGATCGGAGTTCTCCCCGACCCCTCTTCAGTAAGAGATACAATTTGCGACAGAGTTTACACCAGTATTTGGGACTCTCCAACATCATTCACAGTAAAATCTTCATTAATTATCCGACCCTAATCGAGATACGACACATGACACCCTCTATTAGTGTCCACCAGTGGCCAAGCGGTCTTCGTACCCCAAACACTGGAATCTGGTTGTGGGTTCGAGCCTCGCTCGGACGGGCTGGCCACGTGGAGTTTTCCGGGTTTTCTCCACGTCTGTAATTTCTAAATAGCGGCCAGTTTCCCTTAAAAATAGACCTCCAGGAAGGCATCGCCGAAATGTTGCGTTGCCATAACTTAACCAACGACCAAGAGTGTGGGGAGACAGATGGTGTCCATCTATCTCCCCACACTCTTCGTCCTTTCAACACCAAAATTTAATAGCATCAATGCTCCTAATACACACACATCCCTGCAAAATTTCAGAAATTTTCGACAAAGAGTACTTATTAAGCTTCAAAGTGGGTGAACAAACTCGTAACACATTAACATGCACACATGAAAAATTTTTTTCCTGTATGCATGAACACATTTCTTTTTTTATTTCTGGACATTTCAAGGTCCTCTAAGTTTTCAAGGCGAAAACGTCGGCCGTAACCTCTCTAATGTTTTGTAACTAAGACATTTAAATGTCTTGTTGATCAATAGTTAGATAATTACATAATCAGTTTCGAGACTTAATAATTTGATTCTTACACTTAATAAATGAAATAACTTGAAATAAATATAAAACAAACAATAGAAAATTCTGGTACTTATTTTTTGTTATTGATATTTACAATAAATTTTATCTACTGATGAAAATAAATACCTTTTGAAAATACGACTAAAAGTACTCATAGCTTTTGAAATTTAACATTTTTGGGGGAAGTATTTTAAATAAAGCTTTATTATTATTTATTGGATAATCCAAAAATAGAAAAAATAGGGGGTTCTATTTGAAATTCTAAAGTTTCCGATAAGGAGTCACGAGATGGCTTAATTTTATGAAATTGTAAAAGACTGTCGAAAATAAATAACTTTTAGTCGGATCAATTTTTTAATTGAATGCATATTTTACGAGTTATTTATCAAGGACATAATAAACTGACTAGCCTACCTTGTGTATACGCTTGTGTTTCTATATACATTTTAAGCTTCTTTGATTTTCAGCAAGGAAGAATGGGTAGGCCATAACTAACCCAGCCTACCGGAACAAGAGGACTGACTCCCTGGTTCCGGAGACACCCTTGTGTAAGGGATAAAAATCTGAACCCTAAGAGGAAAAGAAAGTAATATGCTTGAAATCTTTGAAATGTCATTACGGAGAGAAATGAAGAACAAAGTGGACTAAAAAAATTAAAAATTAAGGGTCAAGCAGACTGAATGACGAAAGACATTTTTCCAGAATGTATTCAGAAAAGAAAGAAAACGTCTCTTGGGTATGAGAGAAAATTGGTTTTTGTGATAAATAACGAAAAAAGAATAAGAGAACAATAAATGGAAAATAAATGAAGAAGAAAGAAAATGGCTTAATGGTGTGAAAGTAGTAGTAAATTTTCAACGCCTGAATAGGAAGGTGAATCACTCATAAACAGTTCTGGAATCCTATTCGGATAAAAACGCAGTCCTCACACAACTACTGGCACCCATCTTACAAGTTGATCGTCTTGGCTGTCAAAAATTCATTTTTTAATCTCTATTTCCTAGATATTATTTTATAATTTGTAATCTAATTTTTTAAAATATGCTACTTTAAGATATCTGTTTTGCTGCAGATTCAAAAGCATCAAACAAAACATTTCATGTCTAATACTTTTTAATCCAGTAAAAAAGCATTGATATATTTTTAATTAATTAAAGTATGTAGATAACATTTATTTATTTCTGTTAACTAACTAAAATAATTTCAATTTTTAGACTGTAATTATCATCGTATTCATCAGAGAGTCTCTCTCTCTGGAACATGCCGATGGAAAAAGTGAAAGTTCTCTATCGCGAGTAAGTAACGATCAATCTTTATATATTAATTAATAATCACTAATTCAAGTTACCATAATAGGATAATGGAGATTACAACTTCCAATATTCCATCCACCGAAATGATGGTTCCAGTAATTCCAGGAGTGAAATGGGAAATAGCGACGGATTGAAGATGGGTTCTTATAGTCTGACTGATATTGATGGTCGTAAAAGATCGGTAGATTATGTTGCGGATCATCACGGATTTCGTGTGGTAGTACGTTCTAACGAACCTGGAACAATGAATTTACCTGAAGATCATCCTCCTGATCAAAGAGGTACCGTACATGTGTCTGCAAAATATCCACCTGGCCACGCATATTATCTACCGCTAAAACGATAATGTATGACCAATCCCAACAATAAATTGATTTAATGTAAAGTTTAATTGGTTAATTTGTTATCTTAAGGCACCGGTCCGTTTCAAACGTTAAGGCAACGTTTTTCGAACTTTCTCTAACAGCGGCACTCCAGTTTGATAATATTTTTATTGAAGTACCCCTACTTCTTTATCAGAGTTATTGCGCTTTTCATACTTTTAGTAATACACGTAAGAAGCGTTATAGCGCCGCTAAGCACTATTTCTCGGCTCCTTCGTAGTGTCGTTGCTACACCCTAGTGTGTTGCAGCATTCCGGTTGAAAACTACAGTGTTAAATGAAAATTAAAGTATAATGTTTTTTTTATTATTATTAGGGATTGAAGAATACTACCAGCGAATACTCGCGTATTCGAATACGTGCCTAGTAATTAATTGAATATCAAACTCAGCTTCCTTTTAAAACACTTAATAAAACACTTGACACCTTATAATGCTAAGAATATTTATTAAATCACAAACGTTTTCAGCCTAATGGAATAGGTCATCATCAGGTGACTGGCTACCGAACGAATTTGAAAATTGTGTTAAAATGGAACTTTCGAACATTATAAATTCAAAATTAAAACGAAAAATAAATTAGCCAACCAATATATAAAATAACTATACTAAATACATTGAAGCCATATTAATATAAATAATAAAATAAGGCGATATAAAAACAAAAGATTAAATGCATAAAAATATACACCAAAAAGCATCACATTATACAGGGCAGATAGGGACTAAGAATTTGTGTTTTAACTTTTCTTTTATAAAGAACTTCCATGCGCACGAACTTCTGAAGGTTGCGCTGCAAAATAACTTCTGTCTGTATACGCACCAACTTCCGGTATTACGCGGAGCATAAAATCGGAAGTCGATGCGTTTAAGAATGATTTGAAGGAATTAGCCAAGTTCGTATGTTATGAGTCCTTCAACTATGATAAGCAGGTATACAGACAGAAGAAAGGCGTACCCATGGGAAGCCCAATGTCAGGGTTGTTATGCGAACTAGTTTTACGCAACTTAGATAATGAAGTTGTTAATAGCTTCAAAAAGGATATTGTATTTTACAAAAGATATGTGGACGATGTGTGCGTTATCTGGAGAAAACGGCGAAAGAATACACGAGTTCATACAGGCTGTTAACAACACCAACAATGATGGTTTGAAACTGAAACTAGAACAGAAGAGTCACGAACGAATTCATTTTCTGGATATTGGCATACAATTAAAAGGAGATTACATAACAACGGGCATTTACATAAAACCAACGCACAGTCCTCTCTACATACCAGCTAACTCGAATGACCCGTATGGATACAAAATGTCAGCATTTCGTGCACTCGTTAGGAGAGTGTTTACGTATTGCTCTAATGTACTAGACAGGATTAAAGAGATTGACAGAATCAAAGAATTGGGTTACCGTAAAAATACAATTGAAGGGTTAATTAAAAGTTATGAAAGAGGCAAGAGGTTAAGAACCCGAACAGATCAATTTAACATCACCAAATTCACATATAATAAAAACTTCAGGGACATCAAGTGAAGCAAGTTTCAACAAAAAACACTCCAAAATTGCTTACAAAAGAGGTCCTAATTTGTATAATATTCTCAGAAACGATATGGACAAGCTTAAGAAAGAAGAAAGCGCGTGTATAAAATCTATATATATATAAAAATGAATGTGTCTGTGTGTCTGTCTGTCCTTCATGCATTATCACACCGTTTATCCGATTGCCGTGAAACTTTGGGAAGTTTAATATACTCCGGCGAAAATTTGTGGCATAGTACGATTGCCATGAAACTTTGGAAAGTTTTTTTAATTTTTTAATACACTCCCGCGAAGTACATTTATCCTACGATAGATGGCGCACGTTTACACGAGCATTCGAACACAGTGTGTTCGATCGATTTCAAATTGTGAAGACCATTTCCCCCCTTCAAAAAATATCTCTATATATGCATTTGTGAACTGTTATTTACGATATTTATAATAATTTTTGTTTAATGACTTTATTTCAACTTTTTTTTGCTAATTATGTATTCGCTCGAGCTTCGTTAAAACCTTAACTGTACCCCGAACAACAACCGAAGTTGTAGGAAGAAATTCGCGTATTTTACCGATCTAGGTATCCCCCTTTTTTCAAATTTTAATATCGACTCAAAATAATTTAAAAAGACAATTACAATAAAGCGGTTTATTATCCAACTATCAGAAATTTCACAACACGCCAAAGAAGAGAGGAAGGAGCAATTAAATAATGAAAATTATAAAGGATTTTAAAAAATATATAAAAATGAGGAATATCGCACTTCTGACGATCGCTGCGGGTGTGTGGGTTAAATTTGGAGAATCCGTGCTTCTCGCATGGACAACTGTATGTGGCCAGCTCACGCGTCGGAAAACCTGATTTATTCGTGTACGCACCAGACGAAAACAAAAAATATCGTGTATCCACAAGCACTCCAATAAATAAATAGAATTGAAACAACACTTTGAAATGTTTTCCCGATGAAAATGAATAATAATAATAAGTTTCAATAAAAATGATAAAATGAAAATTTAATTTTATCATAACGAGTTTGCTTGAATTTCCTTTCTTCTGAGATCGCAGCAATGCGCGACGGGTAAGCTAGTATGTATATAAANGATGAAAATGAATAATAATAATAAGTTTCAATAAAAATGATAAAATGAAAATTTAATTTTATCATAACGAGTTTGCTTGAATTTCCTTTCTTCTGAGATCGCAGCAATGCGCGACGGGTAAGCTAGTATGTATATAAAAGGAGTGTATAAAATTCCCTTTGAAAACCAATAGCTAAGAATTATGGAGGACTATATTGGAGTCACTAGATGGAATTTGGCTATTAGGCTTAAAGAACACAGATATGACATTAATAAAGGACACTATACCACGATTTTGTCAAGTATGGCACAAGCAGAGGCTTCAGTAGTTGAATGGAATGAAGCATCTATTCTCAAGACTGTGCGGTCCCCATCGTTGACTTTGCAACATGGGAAGATTGAAATCTATAAGAGTAAATTAAGGGACGGCTGTACCAATGCAATGGATGCTGATGGTTTAGCTTCGGCATGAAAGTTCTTTATAAAAGAAAAGTTAAAACACACAAATTCTTAGTCCCTATCTGTCCTGTATAATGTGATGCTTTTTGGTGTATATTTTTATGCATTTAATCTTTTATTTTTGTTTTTATATCGCCTAATTTTATTATTTATATTAATATGGCTTCAATGTATTTAGTATAGTTATTTTATATATTGGTTGGCTAATTTATTTTTCGTTTTAATTTTGAATTTATAATGTTCGAAAGTTTCATTTTAACACAATTTTCAAATTCGTTCGGTAGCCAGTCACCTGATGATGACCTATTCCATTAGGCTGAAAACGTTTGTGATTTAATAAATATTCTCAGCGTTACAAGATGTTAAGTGTTTTATTAAGTGTTTTACGTCTCTAGTACTTCAGTCCCCATACAACAACTGACACACATCTTACAAGTATCCGAGACTTATTGTGATCTCGAATATAATGCATTTGAATATTAAAAATACAGTCGACCCCCCCTATAATTACGGTCCCTATAATTACGATTCCTATAAAACTACGAAAAAATTGTGACCGGTATCCGTAAAAAACAGTAAAAATTCCCTATAATTACCTCAAATGTCATCGGGCAGCCGAACTACTTTCCCGCCGTCTGTAGTGCCAACTACGGAGAGATTTCTATCGTCTGGACAG